GACTACGGTTCGTGTAGATTGTATTGTGGCGTTTAACCCATGATTAGGTTCGGTGTGGTTATGTGGTATCTGAAAACTGACAGCCGCGTCACTCCAAAAAAGTAGTATTCTAACCCCCAAAGAGGTCAACAAAAATGTTAAAGGTTGTATGTGTGACGAGTGCCTTTCCTGCAATGTATAGTCTTAGGCAGACAAAGTTATAACGTAGCCAACAGTTGTACCAACGACCGCGATTGGTGGGGTCGCTAACCGGTTAATGTAAGCTTTTAGTTTTACTCTTTTACTATATGAGCTTACGAGGTTAAACGGGCGGGAGACTGAACTACTACTCTCTGTTTGTAGGTATAATGTCTTACAACGGGCATACTGAGATCGCAGGCCGAGGAATCGGCAAGCATGTGCCTCGGACCAATATCACTCCCCCATTCTGTCCTCCTCTTAATCAGTTCGAGGTTTTGTGCTTACCTGCAAGCGCATTGATGTGTTAGATAAAACAATGATATGGTATTATAAACAAATATGTGGGGGCAAAGCTGGACCTGAAAAAAATGACTTCCCTACGCAATGTTGGCGGATTTCTCTGAACGCAGCCAGCACGAAAGAGCATCTAGATGCGGTTGTAAAGGGATAAATGTAGCTTGTTAAACCATCAAATATCATAATATTGTATTTGACGAGGAAGAAGGCGTGTCGAGCACCAGATCAATTGATTTATTGTTGTGAGCTTTCGAACTCTTAAAGGAATCCATCTTCACAGATGAAGATATACAGAAGATGGACTCCTGTAAGAGTTCGAAAGCTCAGGACAATAAATCAATTGATCTGATGCTCGACACGCTTTCTTCCTCGTCCATGCAAATACCTGCATCGCGAACCTTCTCATTAATATAGTCTAACTTACAAACAGCAGTTGCCTGTTAGATATTTGATAGGGGAATGGTTCTTAATTGTAACAGACTTCAACACGTGAATTGGAGATTCTAGTCTCAGCAGGAACAGTGTGACGAGGAGGAGGAGGAGAGGGAGGGAGTGTAGTTTTAATTATTGCCGTGGCGGTACATCTAGAAACAATAGCAATAACGTTTCCAATAAATCACCCTGGAACGGATAAATGTGATTGAGGGGCGTGAACACGCCACTGAACAGATAGGCTTTCAGTTGGTGAGAGTTTTATCAATTATGACGTTAGATATCTCTGGTCTTCCCTAACTCCTGTCTGAAGTCGTCCATCACTAACTTTAAAATAGACATTACCTGTAGCTAATTAGCTAATGACAATGTTTCATCAACCTAAAACTTACCCTTCCTCCTGTGAGATTATGATATTGTTCCTTTGAGTTTTGTTCTGTCTTCTTCTGGCCTTATTTCGTGATTTATTCCGAAAAAATCTAATATACCCCCAGGAGGCTGCCTGAGGAACAAGGTGTTCCGAACTTCTCGCGAAGTAATCTGGTTA